CGGTTCGTATTCATCTAACAATGATTTAAGAAAATGTAGCAGATGGTATGTAGAATGTCTCTGCATTAATAAACACGTTACTTGATAAACAAATGCCTTTTTTTTCACAACCTCAGAAAATGGTTGATTTAAAAAGTTACCATCAGTGATATGATGCATGATAGTGTCAATACCGAGTCCATATTTTCTGTCGATAGTTTGCGTTTGTCCTCTTACAAACGACCATTCGTCATTTTCGTAAACCTGGAAGAGAGGGATTAAATCTGTGGAGAAGTCCGGCCGAAACAATGCTTTTGCAAACAAACAAAAGCCGCGCTTGAACACAGCCACTTCACATTAGAGTGATATGGAAAGCGCAATCGGATGGCCTTCCACTCACCTCAATTTCATCATCTTGATGCTGGAGATAAGTTATGATCACCATCATTAAACCTTGAAATGTGAGTGGAATGTAGTAGTACTTGAACCAATTGTATACTGAGTAGTCGCAGAAGTGAAACATAACCTTAACAGTTCCTTCATCTTTCTTTTCTTTCCTCATCCCCTCAAAAATGAATAGAACAGAACTCACTGCTGCGCAAAACAGGCAAGCTCCTCCAGATATGATGCATTTCACGCGATCTGCAGGGGTGGTGAAAAGTCGCGACCATGGCCAGAAGTGAGATCCGTCCGGAAGACCAAACACGGTATAAATTGGATTCCACCTGAAATGCACAACATTTCCATAATTCCTCCTTCGCAAAGCTGCTTGTTCAGCCAAGTGCGCCCGGTGACAGGTGTTAAGCTACCGGCCTCTCATCGACGTTTAATCCCAAAAGAAGCAAACAAACGTTAAGCGCACTTGCCACATACTCAGCGCTGCACTACATCAGCTGATCTGCCAGTGCTGACAAAGCGCTTTTTTGCCGGCGCATCTCAGGAAATTGAAGAGAAAGCGCGGAAGAACAGGATTCTTCCGAAGAACGAAAAAAAACGAACTCAAGGGAAAAGCCGCAGCAGGGAAAAATGTAAGAAATTAGATCACGCCAAAGGGAAGTTTACCTCTGAATTCGAAAACGTATGCGCACTAGTGACTAACAACAAGTAGTGTTGCACTGCATTTGATATTTAGAAGTATCCGCTTAGCAAACTAAATGGAAACGAACGCTTACTAAGGTATATACTAGAACTGTAAAGAGTGGTGTCGGACATGTTCAAGAATTACTGCGAAATGTTTTTTTTTGGGCTTTTGTTTTAACCCTTAACATTCAATAAGATATACCTACGAAATATGTCGGTGCATACAAAGCAGATCATACTTCTATCAAGAAACCATTCCGTATGACTCAAACCTTCGGCTCACTTCCCTAAGTTTGAAATTCTACCTCTTTCTTTTTGTAATTGTCCGAGTTAAAGCAGTACAATACTCAGTTTTTCACAATACACGCTTTTGGATCACATCACAGTACTGTCGTGTTACTGTACAAAATGAACAAAAGTTGAATGGGGAGGAAAAGAGCTTTTTATGAAAAAAATTGTGTTGAAACGTTCGAAATGTTGCTTGTCTGACTCAATGTTGATAACAAAACGAAAGCTCCACACAGAAAATCAGCATTTAAGCCCTCTGTAACATCTAATCTTTTCTTTTGTTGTTTTGTCCGGTTTTGGTGCAACTTTTTCAATCGGAGCGGAACATTGCTAAGAGTGCACACATGTTATTTATAATGAAGTGATCCTCGTAAGGACATGCTTAAAGAAGGTTAATCGTGCGAAGGAAGATGTATTAATAGTTTCGGATTTGTATCAAGAATTGGAAATGTGGGGGCAACTGAAGACAGAAACATCTACTTCACCTATCTGAAAATTACTTAGCAGCTTAAGCACAATAATCATATAAAAGTCAAAAGCCTTGTGGATTTTGACAATTGCTTTTATGATAGAATTTGAAATCTACAAAGAAGTGAACATTTAAACTGGAAATTGATGTTTCACCACCGCGATATAGGTGAAAAATTCCCTTAAGTTTAGAAGAAAATGAAAAATTTGATATCATCTCGGATATTGTCATATTCTGCACTTATTTTCCGCAGTTGGATTTTCCGCATATATATATATATATATATATATATATATATATATATATCAACC